CAGGATTACTGAGTCAATCGCTCCACAGACTCAGGAGCGTAGTCAATGAGCAGAGCAGCTTGTAAGATCACCTGCCGCAGTTTGAGAATTCTTAACAGATGACCATATGGGCAGCATGTTTACTCCATTGTACTTTTTGAACAATCAGTCTGTATAAACCTATGCACATTTTGCACATATTTTATTGCTTTTACAGTGGCTATGATCAGCACATTTTGCACACACCTATGTATTTATTTATTTTTATTTATTTTGTTGTCTTTTGTTTTATAACTATTCCGATGTCTGTTTTGCTTGTCTTGGGCTGGACTGCTGTAACACATCAATTTCCCTACGGGATTAATAAAGTCTTATCTATCTATCTATATGAGCACAGGAGCTCCGATCTCAGTCTGTAATTCATGAGGAATAATAGCAGAACCTAAGACTGAAGAGTACTGAAAAGTGTTTGAGTGTCGAGTCATGGTACATTTGTCTTAACCTGCTTGGCTGAGGGCCAGACCCCCTGGCTGGAGGACGAGGGGGCTGGGATCCCCATTCAGAGGGAGAAGTGAAACAGGAGGGAGCTGCAGAGCTGAGAGATGGGGGTAGGAGGATTGCAAGAGAAGAACGTGAAGGAGAAATACAGTAGGCTGGCGTCAGCTATTTCGCTTTTTTTTAATTGAGGAAGTGATGTCATGGGTGATTATGATTTAGGCCACAGGAAACCGGGTAAAGGTTTATTCCATGCTGAAAGGAAAAGAAAAGAGACACAGTGTTTCAGCTGGGGAGCCTCCAGGCGTGAGGGAGAAAAGGGAACTAGCAGATTAATGAAGCATGGGAGGACAAAGTGCAGAATAGTTAAGAAGGGGCAGGGAGCAGGGAGTAAATGGGCACGAAGCAGGTGAGAATGAGTGGCCAAACTCAGGGAGAGCAGGAGCAGAGGCGTGAAAAGCCAAAATCTGCAAATGAGTAGAGAGGATGATTATGATTTAGGACAGCTGAGAGGGATTGAACTTGGCTTCTTTCATTCCCTCCTAAACTTTTGGTTGAAAGCGATACCATTTTCTGGAATTTTAAATACAGGAGGCAAGACCCTAAACCCACCACCTTTGTACAGGAAGCTCACTGTAGAGGTCACGTGCCGAGTGCCTGGTGACTCCACCAATCACCTCGGGGTAGGTCTGAGACAGGAGCCAATTGCTGCCCCCGCAGGGCATCACCTAACGCGGGTGAGCGAGTGCACAAGTAGCACACGTCTAGTTCCCCCCACTTGCTCAGTATTGTTTCAAATCCCCTTTCAGTCGCTCCCAGGAGTGAGGGTGGAGGAGGGATCCGACACTCTCGTGCTTGGGATCAAGCTGACATGCCCTCAACCGGCCACATTAAGCCAATAAATCAATCTAATTCAAATTAAGTCTTTACTCCAAACCTAATTAAGATGTGTCGTTACCACTGAATACTTGTAGCTGCAATATTGGTGCAATTGTGTCAGTATTCACCTGAGGGCCTTGATATTGATCGTGGCTGACTGTGCTATCTCCCCAAAACTGCAACAGGTACTGTCTCTAGTCTCTTAAACTGTCTTCTGCTAGATTGTCTCTCTTCAATACTCGACCGTTAGATAACAAAAAATCTGATTCTCGCTGATTTTCAAACGAACCAGAAAGTAGATTCCTATCCAACCTGCTGACATTAGAGACTTATTGAATGGCTATTTGATGTTCAACGAAGTTCATCGCACCGGGGTTCAATAACGCAATATTGAAAAGTCTCCCTTACAGCCATTCATTCCTTAGATGTTGGTGTAAACGCAGTTGATGTGCAGAATGTTCATCCTTTGAGTGCGTGGTGTTTTTAACACAAAAGGATCTCAGCCTCTGCTGGGATCTCTGTTTTACCCTCTATAAGGTTTTTACCTGTGTTTTCAGATCTCTCCTTCCTCCAACCTGATGAAGTATTTTAGTTCTCAGTGTCTTCTGTACACACCATGATTCTGCTGACTGCCTCTCAGCTGGTGATTTATTAGCAGACTTAGACTGTTTCAGATTTACTCAGCATGTTAACTTCCCAACACATATCCATTGCCACACAGTTGACTTGGTTAATTCTTGTGCAGTGGAAACGTCTTCCTATGAGCATTTGAACTGGGTATATGTGTCCACAAGGCTATGAGACCTGCTTCTTCCTTCACCTCCTGCTAATAGTAAAAACAGACTATGCATTACCTTCCTTAGACAGAATGTGGTAAATTCAAGCAGGCTGGTGGTGAGGATTACAAAATATTTAACTTTGTGTAGCTCTGATTTTTTTGCTAAATGACTCTACTGCCATTTACAGTACAATTGACATTCTAGTTCCGAAAAACAGTTTTAGCTTCATTTTTTTCTTCTCCTGCTTAACAAGTTGTATGGTCATTGTACAGTATTTTGTATTTTCCTTTGTACTGGCTATTGACACAGTAGCAACAGCCAGTTTACTGCAAAAGCTCAAATGCGATGATGACCCCATTGCTGTTTAACAGCATTTCTTCACTGGGGGAGAAGAATTTCCAGACAGGATTTATTAATTTAGCTACTAAATCATAAATTAAAAAAAAAAGAAGGGGTGGAGGAACCAAAGACGAAACAACTTGGGCATTTCAACCACCAAAATGAGAGTTGCAAGCAGGATTCTTCTTGCAGCCAGGAGCAGAAAAAAAGAACCACAGAGACAGTGGTTTGAAGCCTACTGCAGGAAATCCACACGAAGCTGTCAAAACTTTACAGAAATAGCAAAGGGAAGCCAGCGGTCAAGAATTATTAAAAGACTCGAGAGAAACCAAAATAATCTGTGTATGTGACACAGAAAGTTTCTACGTAAGACAAAAAGCTTGTCATGGTAGAATCAGCATCTACATTCAAGCATTCCATAATATTCATTTCTGACATTAGGAAACAAATAAACTTCCGGATAAAGAACGTGGTTTCTTCTATAGAAGTCTTGTCAAGATTCTGGGCCTCATCCTGTAAATAATTTTAATTCTGGAGTCGGTGAGCTCACCTGCCCACTTCCAGTCAACAAGCACCATAAAAAGAAAGAAATCAGGCTCAGGGATCAGGCAGGGACACTCTGCAATAACGCCCAGTGTGTATATGACACCGCATCGAATAACAAAGCTAACATTATAAAAGTGATCCTGTCAGGCTGGAGGCATGCTGATCTTGATTTTCAGAAGACAATCATTCTTTAACATTAGGACTGGGAAGCTATGCTTTTCGCTGAGCGTTTGCATTTCCCTGCCGAAACTCCTCTAGGAAATTGTTAAAACACGTTTAACAGTTTCTTCTATATTCCTGTCAGGTCCATCTTGGTCAGTTGTTACAAGATGAATTATTTCAGCTTTGCTGCTTACTTTGATCTAGGTGACATCCGGTACTTTTTTCAGGAAAACGTGGAAATTGTTGTTTAAATATACGAAAAAGCAGCATTTTCTACATTTCCTGCGTGGCCTTCATTAATGTTAAGTCAAAGGATTTCGAAAAAAGGCATAAAGGAAAAGGTTAAAGTTTTTTTTTTCCCGACTCCCATGAAAGGAAACGTCTGCAACAAGAGTTTTAATCCCTTTGTGCAAAACCAAAATTGTCTGCAATCCCCCCCCCCGCCCCCTCTACAACCCCCCCTTGCACCCCTCGTGTCTTTGACTGCACCAACAGAACTCTAGCTCTGCCATTAAAGCCATTTGCATCTGACTGAGAACCCATTAGAATTTTAATTAGCCTGACCTGAAAGGCAAGCCTTTCTCAGCCCTGAACAAGGCTGCTGAAGGCAAGAGCACTTTACAGTCAGAAAGGGCAATGCAGATATGTAATTCCATTAGCCAAACCCATTGTCGTAATCAATCAGTGGACGCAATATTTTATACCAGTGGGTGCAAGGTGAACCAGGGGCCTGCGGACGAGCCTTTAAAGCCTTTCACAGCTACACGCCAGGTTCACATTCAACTGAGCTCACAAAAGGAACATAAAGGGGGGATTTTTCTGAACTTCGCCTGCTGAGGGCATTAGATTTATTCCCTTCTGTAAACTTCTCATTTTATTAAAAAGGTATAAGTTTCCACAGAATATGCAAATACGCTAAATATATTTCCCCATTTTCACATTTCCAGGGCACCTCATTTATCCCATTCCTTTTATGAGTAAATGCAAAAACCACCATCCATTAGGTAATTATTTGGACAAGTATTAAGCCATTCAACTTCTGAGTACATGTACACTGCCTTTATAGCAGGGTAAAGGGCAGTCGAGTGTCATTTTTATTTCCCGGTGCTGCCAAATGATTTTCAGTACGAATAGGATACGACTGCTGTCACTTTACATGTAGTTTGCGGGACATGAAGAACATTTTTAGAGTCGACCCTGGGAAATGTGGGGGCTGTGATAAAAATGAGCTAAGAGTTCCACAAACAGTTGCTGATTTTTACTAAGGACGCCGCTATTTCATAGGCCAATTAAAAAAAAAAACAACAGACTCCACTCCAACATACTGAAGCACTTGCAGTTAAGTAGGGTGGGCTAAAATGCAATTCACCGCTCCTTTGGAATAATGTTATAAACAGCAAGACTAGAGCATTGGACAAAGCTCTCAATGTCCGGATTAGGACGTATAGGACCAGAAATCTCCTGAAACAGCACACCCACTTCACAAGCCAGAGTGTGGATCGCTTAGACCAGTCTTCTTCAAGAGAACTGAGAGGATGAAATTCAACAACAAAAATCACGTTGAAACACCAACGCCTCTACTATGCTGATAGTAACTGGCAATGCATTACAAATCAAGGTGCAGTTTTTAAAAGTTGAACTGATGAAAGGGTTTTGCACAGCAAAGCAGATCCTTTAAAATGACAACAACAAGAAGCGAAAACCAAGATAAGTCTTCAGGCCCTCTTCGAAGGCTGCCCCAATAAGCTGCCGTGCCTGTCTCATCCTCCCTTTGCTACTTTCCTCTGCTCCGTTATTCTCTTCTGTTCCTGTCTTCCTCAGATTTCTCTTCCAATGCGAAGCATGCCCAGAGGATGAGTACGCGTGCTGGCGAACCGTGATCAGTGCGCAGGAACTGGTGGAGAACAGCGAGACCTCTTCGATGTTCTCCATCTTGCCCCATCACATCGGCACACAGGTGGCACCTGCGGAGACTGGCTACTGTGTCTGTGTCTGTTGGAGTCGTCCTGTTCATCTCATGACAGAGGCTGCATAATCGACTGTCACATGCAATTCGTCATTACATGGCAGAAGCGTTATGAGAGGTCATCGGAGGTCACCAGCCCATTAGGATGTTCAGAATTGACAATTTGAACAACCTATTAAGTCAAAAATGTGTTCAGGTAGATTGTATACAGTGTCAGAGTGTGACAAGCCTGCACTCCTGCCTGACTGACAGTCAAAGTGAAAAACGTATCTTAGCAGGCATGGACAGACGCATGATACCACAGAATACACCCTCTCAGTGCCCTGCATGCAGGGGTTTCACAGTGGGCGTTGCGTGGGCATGCAAATTGTGACGTAGTCTTGTGAAAAATGAGAATGTTGCAAGTAAAAGAAGATCTGAAGCCATTGCCTAAAATTCTGAGATGTGATGAGGGCCGCTATACAATTCACTGCTGCCACAGTGAAGGCTGAGTGGGGGCCAGGCAACAAGAAACAGAAGAACTGAACCCGCAGATGTGAACAGACATTGTCATTTTGGGATTTGCGGATCACTCAAATGGAACTCCTGGGTCAGTGTTTTGATAGGATCCTTAAAGCAGATAATAATTCCTGCAGCAGCCCACTCTAGGCAGGCTTGAAAAGGCTAATGTATTGTTCTGCAGCCCATGCAGAGACCTGACCCCACAGCCAGATAGCAACTGTGAGATCATCTGGGAAGAAATGTCCTCACAGGGTTTCTGCAGCCTAATGCACTTGCACAGGCAGCCCTATTAAGGACACGATCCAAAAATCTCGTTACAGATAGGGCATGCCTTTTGTAGGAGGACAAAGAACAAGCCTATATTTAGATGGAATAACATCCCTTTTCACAATTCTTACCCAAACAGCCTAGTATTTTCTTATTACTATAAATGGTAAATTTCCTCAAGTCAAAATCGACAGGAATTTTTTCCGCAAATAATAGAATATGTTTCTCACAAGGTCTGAGTAAAAACAGTAATCAGAGCAATGGTATTTCCTCAAAACTTTGTTTTCTGAGTCATGCAAATTTAGAGAATTGTTTCTTGGTAGTAGTAACCCACTACCCACCCACAAGCTGCCCAGACAAAGACACTTGTGTTTAACTGTACATATAACGGATGGCTCAGATATCGTTGTGGGACAAAAACGCAGAACATCCTGTTTTTTATTGTTTTTCAGACAATAAGGATTCTCTACTGTCTCTGAAAATGCCACCCTTGTAATTGTCTCCTTTATCATGGTCTTCGTGCAAATAAAAAAATATATACCACTTAGAAATAGGTGTGTAGTGAGAGGGTTAGCTGTTGTAATTCTTGTGAATCAGTTAATCCAATGTCACGATCCATCATCGTGATCCAAATCAGATGCCATATGTTACAACCAAAAGATCAAAAAGATCTGCTTTATCATTTTAAAAATCTGAGGGGCTCATTGTAAGAGGCATCATCTTTGCTATAAAGTTGCCACTGGCATGACATAAAGGGTTAAAATACTGACGTTCGTATAATATTTATTTTCAGAAGGAAGGGCCCTTCTACACACACTGAAATTACCTTATAATTAGAAAACTAACGGGAATGTCATAATTTAATTTTCCAAATCCATTACAGACGTAACGCCAGTGAGTGGTGTACCAGTGGATTACAGACATTTCTAAGGTGGGTAATTAACAAGACACAAAAACAGACGCCATCTGAGTGTTGGCAGATGTGTGACAGGCCCGCATCAGTGAGAACCATGGATGGAGAGATGGGCCGTGAAGGGCTGATCCCCTGTCCCTGAAGCTCTCCAGAAGGAACTCCACACATGGTTCAAACTTCAGAGCGCTTTGACATGCAGCACCGCTGGGATTGGGAAAGAACTGGTGTGTACTGTACTGTATATACAGGGCCTTCCACAAGTACTGGGACTGCACGCGTATAACTGTCAGTCACGTGCTGTACAGTCAAGTAACTTGTATGTGTTTGTGATCATAAGCTTCATAAGAATGATAGGTATGGTATAACCTAATGTGTTGTTTTGTGGGAACGCCATGCATACACTTCATCATATTAGAACTTAATCATACTATATGCTCAACCAATGATTTCAAGGGACCATTACTAGTTTTAGGGCACAATCACTTGATGTCAATTCCAGAGTGTGGAATTACTTCTAATTTTATACCCGTGTGTGTGTTTGGTTGCATGTCCCTTTGAGGCAACAGCTGCATGAAGTCTGAGACTCATCGAGCTCATCAGCCTTCCTTGCTTCATTATTTGACGTGCTTTGTTACAGCAGTCAAGGGATTTCAACCTGGCATTGCTCGTTACAAAAACTGTTGACAACCATACCATCCATCCATGTTCCAACTGCTTCATTCAATTCAGGGTCCCTGGAGAGCTGGAACCTATCCCAGCTAGCAAGAGGCACAAGGCAGGGTACACCCTGGACAGGACACCACTCTATCACAGGCCACACACACACACCATGGACAACTTTTCCAGAAGCCAATAAACCTACCAGGATGTCTTTGGACTGTCAGAGGAAACCCACATAAACATGAGGAGAACATACAAACTCCACACAGATAGTATCCCAGGTCCAGAATTGAACCCAGGGCCCAAACACTGGGAGGTAACAAAGCTATCCACTGTGCAACCCTACACCATTAGAGTTCCTCTATATTCTTTTCATTTATTGATATGTGTGGGCATTAGATGAGCTTGATTCCTTAAATTGCTCTGAGCTCATGGTACTGAAGGTACAAAACAAAAATAAAGCTAGTGACAATACAGAGTCTTACAAAAATTCCTCCCTTCCAATGATGTCCCATTGTGTTGAACTACAGATGATGTGCACCAGCTTTGTACTGTAAGTGAACATTTTTTAATCAAAACCTGCTCAAACCAGGTGCTTTATGGGTGAAAAGTTAAGTGTTGGCAAGAATCGTAGAAAACCATTGGAAAAGGTGGGGATGGATACTTTTGAAAGGCACAGTATGTTCTATATTTACATAGTCTTTTTGTACACAGTCTTTTTTGTAATTCATAGACTTTTTTGTTTTCTTTTTACACTATTAGGAAGACTGGTGAAGCGTAAATCGGTGTTTAGTAAAAAGACAAATCCTAAGCTTATTTTGCCGGTCTCATCTGGAGATCCACAAGGATTTTAATAAAAGGCTGAATAAAAAATAATAATAAAACACGATAAATTCGACATAATCTCTGTATTCATATTAAGGGGATCACGGATTTTAGCTGTTGGTGGGCATGCAGTCTGTTATTTATGAACGCAATGAAATGTGGCAGAAGAAAAAAAAACTGGAGCGCTGTTCAGCCCCCCTACTACTAACAACCACACTATCGGATTTACCAAGTCATCGCCCGGGCGGGCTCGGGTTGGACAGCCCAGACAGGTAGCCTCGTCCTGTAGCCGCTTTCCCAGACGCGCAAACGAGCAGCTTGCGGGAAACAGCCCGGCGTTCAATACCGACCGGAGCGGAGGGACCAGACGCTGAGGGTTGCTGAAGCTTCGTTCTCTTGCAGTATTGCACGGGGGAGGGGAATGTCTGCCGTTTATTTTACGCTTAGTTTGTTTTGCGTTTAGCTCCTATAGCGGAGCTGCTCAAGACTGGAGCAACCCAGCCCCTAGACTGACGGTGAGACAGCGGAGCCCCAACTTCCCCTGCTCTGGTACGGCAGGAGAAGGGCTCCCCCTCGGGGCTCCAGACTCCCAGCTGCCTGTGAAAACCGTGGCGTGTTGCCAGGATACAAGCTCCCAGTCTGTTCCGACTAGAAGACATAAAGAGCAAAGATTAATTATTTACAAGCAGACCCCTGTATACCGCTACCACTTGACAGTTTTCCCACATTAACGTAACTATCCACTAACCTGCCTAATTTATTCATTTAGATGTCGCGTACCCCCTGTCCATACCCAAAAATCAACCTCGAGTGGGATTTTTGTCCACACACCATGTTTCCTATACATTCAGGTTGTAGAATATTTTGACAACTGAAGACCGTCCATAAGTAGGTCTGCACCCTACCATGTAAAACAGCCGCATCCTGCCACACATGATGAAATACAGCTAGGCAAATATCTCTTCGCACAAAGGGCGTGTTAATATTCATATTTTGGTTAGTTATAACCCTTTTTTCGGACTGTATCACAATATTCCCTCTGGGTGCCATTATCCTCTGATTCATTTAATATTTATAGGGTCTGTGGCACAGTTTGAAAATCCGACTTCTGAGCCGCGCTCTTTACACAATAAATTAAAGTGATTTATGCCGCTGTAAAATTTTGTGGTTACGTCTTTTAAAATGTGGCATATTTCAAAAGCACTAAGGGGGGGTCATTCGGTTTGCTTTCAGGGGCCTGAGCTTTGAGTGTTCTTCTCCAGTTGTTTTAATTTGTTTTGGCGGTTTTTTTTCTTTTCTCCTCTGTGTGACGGTGCTTCTGTGTGATGGCATCCACGCTGTTCAGCCCACAAGGGGCTCGCTTTGTTCTGTTACATCCTTTGTTGTGCCTCGTTTCCTTTTTTTATTTGCATTCTGTCACATGAATCTTCATTATTACCAGGGCCGACCTACATGGCTAAGCATGTTTTAATTGCGCTTCGGCCATTACAGAGCACTTTCACGTATCTGAGGACGACGCGGAGAAATTCCAGATATAAATAGACATCTAAAATTCATCATGTTGTTACTCTCCGTATCAGAGGGATGATTCTAACAGTGCGTGTCTATTACCCACGTTAATCTGAGGCAAATGATCCGAACACCTCACTTTCTTTTTAATTTTAATCTGATTGCAGATAGAGTTAAAATAGGTAAATGTTACAGTTTCGTCAACATGGACATTGTGCTACAGGAAACACGCATTCACAATTTTCAAAATTGTTTCTTGATGAAACTCAAGAATCCCGGTCTCGCAGTTCCTAGCAATGAATATGCAGCAGAAAACTGAAGTGTGGGAAAAATCAGATGTCAAATTTATGAATAGATGAATCGTGCTTGAACGTCTTTGGCAATATTTTAAAGTCCTTTCTCAGCTCTGGAGAATAGGTTCTGTATTTCAGAGAAACAACACATATACATTGTTCTGCGTGCATGTATTGATATAAACTCAGAGTATTAGAACTAAAATATCATTAGAATATCTGATACTACATGTTACTGGAAGATGTTAATTCCTCTAATTTTTCCCTATTATATTCAAAACCTGGAATTTAATTGCAACGCTGGTGTGTTTTTGGTGCACTCAGAGAATATATATAGTCACTTCCATAAAATAAATCATACACTTACACAAATTAATTCCATACAATAGGATCATTGCTCTGTTATTATAACTTGGCTAAAACGTCTTTAACTACACACCGTATTTGCTGCAAATCCTCCACTCGGACAGCAAAATGCTTTTCGTAAGTGCTGTGTTAAAACACTACGTTACGAGTAGTGCTACTGTATTTACACGTTTTCTGCGTCTAATTATAAAAATAAATCACCAGCTACAGTAGATTACACGAGGCACTTGTTTGGATTTATATTATAGATTTCATAACATAATTTCTTATTATTGATCTGAATTATTAGATTTAATTCAGATTGTTTACATACCTGTACTCTAATTAATTAATCCAGATTTGTTTGCGTGTGTTGGCTTGTTTAAGGCATTAATTTTTCGCGGATGCTGCTAGTGAATGTCCTTTTGCTTGAGCCACTGGACCCAGTACCAGTACTATTTAACCACTTCCCTCAAGTACCGTACACCTGGTGACGTAAGAAAATACTGGAGCATTGAATGCAACCAAATGAAGATGCTTAAACATCTCTGGATTACAGGGTTTCCTGGGGGAGAAAGAGAACTATATTAAATGTCATTTCTCTCACCGAGACACCAAGAGTGGGTTTTATCGTTCGATTAAACGTTTTAGCTGTTTGACTATGCTATCCACCTCTTTTGAACTACAGAATATATATATTACATTGCCCCTTGAATCATTCATAACAGAATTCAAAGGCCTTTCTATTCACGTGTTTGCGTATCATTTATTCGACTATGTTTTTGTACTGTTCACTCTTCTGTTCCGTGAACCTACACACTGCCAAGTTACGACGGCACTGAATTTAGACAAAGAACTATGCTGTATACTCAGATACTGTATATTTAACATAGGTTTCTCAGTTGTAAGCACGAACTCACAATTCAAACAACTACCCTGTTAAAAAGACGCTTGAGAAATACTATAGCCAGACATCGGCTAAC